TGGCGGAGGACGTAGGTTAGCCAACGGCTGGAAAATAGGACGCTGTGGTGGCGATCCATGACGTGGAGGTGGGCGACTGTTCCACTCGTATCTTGGTGCCGGAGGAGGGCCATAGGGACCCGGAGCTTGGTGAGGAGCTGGAGCCGGGTTTGGCGGCGGTGGTGCGGCAGCAGCCTGAACTGGCGGCGGCACGGGCACAGGCACAGGCGCTGGATGCGGAGCTGCAGGCTGGGAGGCAGACGGCTGTGGAGGAGGTGCCGGAGCAACCCAGGCATATGAAGAGAGGCTTCGAGCTCTGGCCTCTGCGCCGGTCGTTGGTGGGCTCCTCAAGGGCGGAGGAGGTGCTGCGAGAGCGTGATGTGCGGGGACAACCGGTAAAGGTGGAGGTGGTACCAACCTCGCAGCAGCCTCGATGACTGGAGATGGTTCTTTGGGTGCATGGGGAACCGGCTTCCTCTTCAATTTGCGGCACTTGTGACACTGGAACTTTCTCTGCTCGACAAACTTCTGAGCCTCTGAGCCAAGGCTTCCGTAGTGACCATTGGTGAGTTCCCGCTCATCGGAGTTTTCAATGGGCCACCACTTGAGAGCGACGTCGATGCCACAGGTAATGCATATCTTCTCTCCTGCTTGGTGAGTGCTCGGGGTTTCGCTGTTCACACTCTGAGAAACAACGTTGGAAGGTGCAGTGGTGGTTGATGCTCGCCGAGTGCTTGGCGTCACAGGAACACCTCCCATCTTCGCAGCATTCGTCATCAGGTTGGCCTTTCTGACTGTGCCAGTCAAGGTGAGATCTGCCTGCTTGTAGCTCTGCACATAGTACTGTAGAGCAGTGAGGCCATCCTCGTCAACAATGTCGTGCATCTGATGAATAACGCTCTTTGTTGGAACGTGCTCCTTGCACCACACTGTGGCGGACATGACACCAGTTTCGCCATTAATGGTGACGAGATTGAACTGGTCACGGCGAGACCCCTTTACAGGGGTGATGTCAAAGCCGAGGAGATAACCCTTTTGGCGAGCGCATTCAACATGAACTGGGAATAGCGATTAGTAGGCATCCAAGAAGTTGAATGAGCAGTACTTACGAGGGTCTCGGCAGTAATGGCAAGTAATGCAAGCACCACCTTTGTGGTTGCAGGCCAAGCAAACCTCATCGTACCTGGCACGAGGGATAGAAGGAATGCCCTCAGATGGACTCAATGCCTTAGCATTGCCAAACTTGACCTCAGGTGTCCAAACAGCACAGGTGACATGGACCCAGTTGTTGTCTGCGGTCCGTTTCAAAGGCTCCCTGGGGTTGACTGGGCGATTGGCATCCTCCTGCTTTTTCTTGTAGTAGTCGGCAGCCTTTTGTGCCTGCTCTCGTTCCACTCTCTCGCGCTCCTTTTCCTTCTCTGATTTCTTCTTGGAAGTAGAGATCTTAGGCTGCTCAACGAAGTCATGCTCAGTATGCTCAATCGGGCACAAGACACACTTGTATTGCTATCCAGAAGTCAGCATATGAAACGAGATTAGTCAAGGGCGGTAAACCACTTACGATCGAAACCTGTGGGCTCTTGTCATTGGCGCACATATCGCAGGTCCACTTGCCAGGGTGCCTGTTGTCGACAACTCCATAACAGTTGCGGTGGACTGTCAGTCTGCATTCCTTACACGACAGATGCTGATCTCCCAAGGGCTCCAACTGGTTGCAAATTGCGCAAGGCATAGTCTTGGGCTTCGGGATTTCTGGAACTGGTGGAGGCGCTGGTTTCTCTTTCTCGACCGCCTTTTCCTTCTTCTTCGGTGGAGCGGCAGCAGGAGCTGAGTCTGAGGCGAGCGACTCTGAGTCTCTCTCTGGGGCTGATCCCTTGAGCTTCTTCCGCGGAGGTTCGCTCGAAGGTGCCGCTGAAACTGCCACAACCGGCTCTGGAGCGATGGCCGGCGGAGGGGTGTTCCAGTAAGTATGCATTTCCTTAGCTGCCTCAAGCTCTTTGAGGAGTTCCTCGTCCTGTCTTTTCTTCCAGGCTCGACCACCTGCTTGAGCGATCTTTTTGGCGACCTCATCCATTTCTTCCCATTGAATGCCGTAGCGCCGCCAGAGCTCCGCGCACCTGCGACAAAGAGCATTGATGTACTGGCCTTTGTCCTTGGTGGAATTCTTGCCCTCGCTGACAGGTGTTCCCGATGCATTGGGAGCTCGCCTCCATTGCCTGGAATATTTGGTGTGGCAGAACTTGCACACGAAACTCTTCTTCTTGCTTGCCGCCTTCTCGCAATCGAATGCAGAGTCGTCTGCATCATCGGCGATATCGTCCTGCAACTTGCTTGCAGCAACCTCTGCCTTCTTGGCTTCCTTCTTGCTTTTTCTGTTCTGGAAATTTCCCCAGATCTGTTTGCCTTGCGGGGTCTTCTTCCAGTTGTAGTAATATCGTACAATCTCTCCAGGCGAAAGAGTCTTGACGTGTCGCTTGACGAGATAAAGCTCGGATCCGTACTTGCTGACACCTTCCTCGAACCTCTTCTGTTCCGTGGCCGTCAGATCGGGTTCCTTGAAAGTCGCCTTGTTCACTTCCGAGAGCGCCTTCAGTGCGCGATCTTCATCAAAGTCACTGCTGTAGTACTTTGCCACAGCAATATCGTGGAAGTTGGTCGAGTTTTTTGCCAGACCAAACTTGGCCGTCAACTCTTCCGCCTTTTTCATGTACCGGTCGAGCTTGGCTTCCCACCCAGTATTCTTCTCCGTTGCTGGGGGAGGCAACCAGATGCGTGTAGCTGTGGCGTTCGGGTCGTCAGGGTCGTCGTCTTCTCCTCTCGCCACATAACCCGCAGGTTCATCTTGAACCCACTTAGGACGCTTCTCACGTCGAATCTTCTCAGCCTCCAGAGCGGCAAGCGCTTCTTTCGATAGCCCGGGCCCTTTCTTCCCTGTCCTCTTGAACTCCAGAGGCTTTTGATACTGTACAGGCTGGCCGGGCCAAGGAAGCACGGGCGCTTGATGTTTGGGACCTATGCGAGTGCTAGCGCGGGGGTAAATTCGGTCATCGTAATCGAGGGCATCTTCGGGCCTGCAATGCATTCCAAGGTAGCGCCAAGGCCACAGGCTGGCTTGGTAGATTTGCTCTGCAGTGCCCGTACGATGGGCGTCGTCGTCCTCAGCAGGACTCGTCCGTTCGGTGTCGATTTGCATCTCATCATCATCGTCGTCGTACAAGTCCTCATCATCTGCATCGCCTGCATTTTCCTTGAGACTGTTCGGGTTGGGAGTATGCCGAGCCTCCAATTTCCGTTCCTGCGCACGACTACAAGCAGCGCAGGACCAAGCGAAGCCTCTGGAGGGTTTCTTGAGCAGGGGCGGCCTGACACAGTTCATGTGGTATGTCTTCTTACACACAGCACAGTCGACCGAGTCATTGCTGTAATGCTGTTAGTGACCCCAACTCTCCATGAGACTGCTGCGTGGGCGGACTAACCTTGCACAGTAGCCGCTGCATCGCTTGCAGGACTTCACCGCACTAGTGAACTCTTTTCCGCGGCCCTGCTCCACAATAACGAATTTCCAGCGTTCGTCTAGCACTTTCTTCACCCTCTCAGGCACGTTCACAATTGTCGACGTAGGGATCAGATCGTAATTTTTCTGGATGTAGCGGTCGTACAATTTTTCGTACCAGAAATTGTCCGAAATTTTTCGGTATTCGTCCATGTTGGGAATTTCCGCCTTGTGCAGGATGTGGCACTTACCACGCAAGGCTGTCAAAGGACTGATATCGGAATGCATCGTCGCAAACACTAGTCGGGTGTCATTGACCTTCTTGCCGATATCCTTGGGTCGGTAGAACCAATTGATGCGAAGTGCATCCACCGGCTTTTTGCTGTTATTCTGCATGTGGAGAAACTCCATGATGCGACCCAGGTAATATGGCTCGCCCGGAGGCTCACACACGAGATAGACATTGTCTGTGAATCTAGATCAGCGAACAATCCTCTCCAGGAAGAAGGAGGGAAAAAAATTAAGACGAGGCGTAAGGATGATGAGTGAGGGTACGTGAAGGTGCGTGTGTGGTTTGTTGCTGTCTTACCATTGGGTGCTAGTACGGTACCGTCATCCGCCACCAACTTTCCATCTCTGGGGACTGCACCGGAGTTCTCGAAACTGAGCATGTTCGTCTCTGCGTAAGAGCTAGCGTAAGGACCCGACGCCGTTTTTCGTGATGCCCCTGTGCTGGCGCCAGACGACGAGGCCGTCGCAGAAGCATGAGCCTGAGAAGTCGCAGCTGCGGCGTGTAAAGCAGCCTTGCGCTTTTTTGAGGGTTGCGTCGAGTTTGTCGAAGCCGGTGTTTGCGTGGTCGGGGTGGAATTTGCTGGCTGCACGTCCTTTGCTCCGTTCTGAGGGACGGTCGACTTTGTGTCGTCAGATGGCAGGGCCTTGCGGGTTGAGCCGTTGGGTCGCGCGTTCTCCTGGATGGACGCGGCCGACACATTACTGTGACGCGCCGATTTCTTGGACTCTTGATCCTTCTTCTCTGGGGCGTAATCATACATGTCGACATCGAGATCCTTGTCCTCGGCGTAGTTTGGGCGCGATGAGCCAGTGCGGTTTCGTGACCGCGTCCCATAAGGGTTTGCGGCTTCAAAGGCGGCAGCGTCCTTTGAAGACTGGTCCAAGCCCATGGCAGATGACTTGGTCGTGGGTTGAGCGTTGCGAAGGGCGGCGTCCAGCTCAGTCTGATGTAATTTCTGGGCGGCAGATGTTGATTTGGATGTCGACGCGCCCGAAGTGGCAGGCTGCGTGGAATCCGAGGCGTCTTGTGCAGACGGTGTGGCGCTGGCAGATTGGTCGTCAGAACTGCTGGCGGTTTGGTTTTTCTGTGCCATGATGGCGGTGGCTAGCTGCGCGTTGGCGGGAGGTGAGATGAATTATGTCGGGGCCCTTCCCGCGGGTGACGAGATGCAAGAGGGCCGACAGGGTGAAGTTCGTCTGCAAGGCGGCGGAGGCTCCGATCCATAGGCTGAGCCAGATGGGACCCGACGTCGACTTATCCGGTGAGGCAGGCGGCCGTGAGCCAGACGCAACCCATGAGATGGAGATGGATATGTGTGAGTGACCGTGTCGAGGTGTGGAAGAACGGTATATGTAAAAGGCTTGGAGCTCTATGGACCAGAAAAGAAAGTCGCGGGGGGAAGGCGCGTGGAGGTAGTGACGCGGGTGAGTGTGGAATTTGGATTATGAATGTGGGAGAAGTAGAGATGTGCGTCTGGGTTTGAGCGTGGTGGGCGGTGGTGATGGGTGAGGTGAGGTGAAGTGAAGTGAGTGAGGTGTGGTGGTGTAGATGAATGAGGATGTGAGTGTGAGAGACGAGACGATGGAAAAGCAAAGGGCGAGTGAGAAGCTGGGACCCCAGTAGGTAGGAAACCGACGAGGAAGGTTCGACGGATCCGCGCGACCAGGGAGAATGGAAGCAATGGAGCCAGCTGGAGAGCCGAAATCGAGCGTGTTTGTGAAGGTGGTCAAGATGGGCCAGGGAGGAAGTGATGTGGAAAGGAAGGAAGGAGACGGGAAGAAGAAGATGGGTCCAGGTCCAGACAAGCGGAAGGCAAAATGGTAAGAAACGTCGAAGAAGGTCGACCGACCCCGTACCTGCCTTTTGTTCTGAGGTGTGTAGGTGTACGGTGTACCTTTCATAGCAGCGCCGGCATGGCACCAAGTCCCGTCCAGGTCCAGGTCCATGTCCATGTCCAGGACCAGCAACCACAGCAGAGTAAAGCAAAGCAAAGCAAAGCAAAAGCACCACGCACCGACGAACCTGCACCTGATCCGTCTTTACCTCATCCACTTGCCTACCGATAGATTGGCCTACCTGCTCTTCCCACCTTAACCTGGCTTTGCGACTTGCCTTGTCTTGCCTCATCCATAAATCTGGGCTGCCGCTACGGAGACCGACTGCTACGATGGATGGCTCCCACTGCCGCAACGCAATGAAGTCGGGTGGGTATGTAGCTCTCCCCAGCTAATCTATGGGAAGGTACTCACACACACGGGGCAAGGGCCCAGGGACTTTGATGGGACAAGTAGTATTAATATGGGAGAATGGGGGGAGGGAGGGAGAGTGCGTGTGTGCGCGCCATATGGAAATCTGGAAATGTACGGATACGTACCTGCGTACCGACAGACCAATGCTAAGGTAAGCTAAAGTACCTAATGCCTCTCCAGTCCCGTCTGGGCCAGCAGGGCGGCAGCGGGAGCAGGAAAGAAGCAACAGCAGCAACAGAAGCAGGAGAGAGAGAAAGCAGCAGCGGCAGGCCCCCCTCGCTCTCTTTTTTTTTTTCTCTCTTGCGGATGGATGGGGCTGCGTGGGAGGTGAGAAGTATCGATCTGCTGCAGGTCGGGGAATGCTACTCGTGGCTACACACAAAGTACGCGCAACTTTGGGTATCGATACGTCTCCACGACCTGCATGATACAGATGGATCCACTCTGTACCTCTGTACCCGCTCCCGCAGTCATCACTCTCGCACCAAAGACCGGGCAAGGGCCCGGCGACCTCACACCTCACCACAGGCTTGCCAACGCCGCAGAATCCAACCGCACGCCCCCCCGTCCATCTCACCACCCGTTGCCTTCTATCAGATCGTCACCGTACTTTTGCTGCGGTTTTTGCTCTTCGTTCAGTTTCTTCAATCGATTCCAAGGGTCTAGCCCCGAACTCAGTCAAAGCAAGTCATAGTTTTACTCATTCGCGTCCGCAGAGGTGCGCGCGAGTGTATGTGCGTGACGGAGGGAGGGAAAAGAGACGACAGATTCCATTGATTGAGTGCGGCACCTTCAAGGTAAGGTTGTCAAGGAAATATCCCACAAGAGGAGAAAGAGACACAGAAACAGATGGGGAGTGGGAAAGAAAGCGAAAGTGTGAGTGGACGATGCCCAAGACCTGCATGAGGCGACGTCTGTCCCTCCGCACGCGCGCCCTCTGTCTCTGTCTCTGTCTCTCTCTCTCTCTCTTTCTCGCGCGCGCTCTCTCTCTCTCTCTTCCTATGGTCTCCGTCGTCTCCTGTCCCTGTCTAACTACACTAGCAAAATAGCCATGTCTCTGTCTCTTCGTGTCCCGCTCACTCGCTCGCTCGCTTGATAGCTAAGGTATTGACGTACCTTGGCTGGTACCCGTTCTCCGTGCATACGCTACCCTGCCTTCATCGGACATCAGATACCTTGCCCCGACCACATCTCTTGCTATCCGACTTGCCGAATCAATTCTGGATAAAATACTTCTCGCACCTTGTACCATCAAATCGCGCCAGCAACTTGGCCTCATCGGATGCGAGCTATCAGTCTCTTCAATTTGCTTCGCTCGTGATCAAGTCGAGTTAACGACGTTGACGTTCAGAGAGCCTGCCGGCCGGGGCTAGCTGGCTCGTTGGGTCTGGGTATGGGTCGGGGTTCTACGCACACAGTACTTGGCATGGAAGTACGAGTACTTTGGCAGACACGCAGCGCAGCGCGGCACGAGGCGACTGCCTGGGCATTTCATGGCAAGGTGCGAGAAAGTCACTTTTGGCTGTCTTTTTTCACCACACAATTGTTACCTAGCAGGACCATGTCCATCCTGTCTGTCCCTCCATCTCGCCATCTGTTTTGGCACTTTCCCTGCAGTTTTGACATCGCCCGCCTTTCCTAGCCGACTAGTTCTCCTTCCTGCTTTCCTCCTTCACTTTCATTCCCAATCGCGCCTGCCTTTGAATCTGGTCAAGGTATCGACAGTCTTTCCTCTTCAACTCTTATGTCACATCACTCAATTTACATCTCAAACGTTGTCCGGCATCATCCAGTCAAATCTTGATCAGCATCTTGATCGTCTTGACCTGAAGAGCCACCGCGATATCTTTCCTGCTCCTCATCCGGTGACAAAGAGCACAGCAAAGGAATGCAGGTGCGAAGGCCCTCATAGGGACTGACAACATTGACTATCGCAGTCGCCGCGCCTCCTCTGCCTCAATTGTTGCTTGCTGATTGAAGGCTGCTGCTTATGTTCAACAGGCTAACGACTCGCCTACTTCGTCCTTCGATGCCCTTCCTAGGTTCGTTGCACCCCCGGCTTGTCCAACCCTGTGGAAACGAAGGGCTCCCTACCACGTAGGGATGTGCCCACGAGATGTCGTCCATACCCCCGTCATCATCCATGTGTGTCGGTTCCATTTCCATCCCACCTCCTGGGATACTCGGTGGCTCTTGGCCGCCCACCCCAATATCAAATCAACAGCACCTCCTGCTCTCGCCGTCTAGCGCCTGGGTTTTCCCTCTCTTTCGCCTTTCCTCAATCAAATAGGCGCCTTTTCAACCGAGCCTGTTTCTGCTTTCCTAGCCAACTAATTATGTCTGTATTCGCATATTGCTCCAGGCTGGCCGATCGACGCCCTACATTAGATGGCTGTCTTCTCCACAAAATGGTGGCCGCATGAGGTGGTCACTTCTGGCTCAACTTGACCTGCACACCAACCGGATGGGACGGTGCCTCATTAATGACACCCAACTTCATACGTATGCTGTCTTCCCTTGGTACTCTTTTTCTTACCCCCCATTGTCCAATTTTCTTCCCCTTTCCAATCAGTCATAGCATGACTTCGGACAACAGACCGACCGTATTGATCCGCCATTCCCTACTACGATTTTCGCACTGAGCTTGGTTATGTTCATCAAAGCCCTGTCAAACTTATATGCACGACATGGGGGTAACAAATTCCGGAGGTTATCACGGCAACGCTTCCAATGTCCCCCGCTGTCGGTATTGAGCACCCTTCCTTTGCCACCCTCACCCCTTTCCTTAATCTGAACCTCACCTCTCGGCGGATTATCCCATCGTGTGCCAGTTCGCCTGGCATGCAATCTGGGTTTTTGTCAATTACCAGCCCCAGCACTGATTGTAAACCCAGCCAAGTCGAGACACAGCTGATGCTTCTGATGGATGCAATTCCACATCGTCAATATCTTCCTAATAATCACTATTCTGCAGAATCAAACGACATGGATTTTTGCACGTGAGCTGTGCGGATACGGCACGTTGTTGGCGGCAGATCAGCCTTGGGCCTCGACCATGTTTGCATCGGTCTTTAGCTTCTTGGGAAACCTACACTCTGAGTTACCGTCTGACACTGTAACGTTCTCATATGAAATGGCGGGTCGCCCAAGCCATGCAACCAAGTTTCCCGTCTGAGAATCAATGAGAGGTAAAGAGCGACAGTTTCAATCAGCAGAGCGAGAGCTGCATCGACAGAGCAGTCAGATGCCGACCGTTGCCCGCCCAGCTTCCGAGGCAAGGCGCGCGCACCACCACACAGAGCACTTGAGGACTACAGATGAGATCGAGGCACACTGGGTCCCGCTCCCGCATTCCCGGGACTTGTTCTTAGGCGAGTGCAATATCCTATTGACGTTTCTGGCGACCGTCCGGTTTGAAGACACATCAGCGCAAACAATACTACGATGTGTTTCAAAGTTCAAACCACAAGCCAGCTCGACCCATTCCCTCCTGGCACGGAGACTCAGCGCGTTGAGGTTTAAGGCGTCGTGGAGAGACAGGTAAGGTACGTAGTACATGGTCATGTATCCCAACGGATACGTACCGACTTGGACGTCGGAGTGGAGCCGCAAGGGACCGCTGGCAGACGACTAAGAGGTACGTATCTTTCCTCCACCATTCCAGGAGTTGCGGCACTACCTTACCTAAGACAATTCGAACGTACCTTATCCCAACGATGATGGGAGACCTGGAGGAACCTTTCTCTCTCGTTCTCTCACCTCCAAGACACTTGTTTTGAAGGTTTTACACAATCGGTGTCAGGACCTTCACATCAGTTTTATTTGAAGAGGGAAACAAAAGGGCACTACTTGCTTTTGTCTCTAGCAGAGATACTGCGGAGTGAAGTTGGTGCTTTCACAGCTTGGGCCACGACCGCGCCGCAAGCCATCGGCGGCAGCGACCGCATCGCGCGAAACAAACGGGGGGCCAGCCTCGGCGAGCGCGACTAATGAGGTGAGGAGTTCTCCGTGGTGTGCAATCGACAACGGGTGTGTACACCCACAAGGCGTACAAGCAGCTGCTTCCAATCTAAGCCTGGATTGTGCAGCCCTGGAGCCGAACGACGAATGGGCCACGTCTTTCTTCTTATGAGCCAAAAATCCATTTACCCTCTTTGTCGCCATCGAATGCTCTCTCTCTCCCTGGCGATGGGGATATACTGCCATTCCATTTGCTGGGTTTCTCAGCAATGTCCACGATATCGAATCCCACCCTTAGCTACGTGTGGCTACCTTGGTCGAAAATACAAGCAGTTCGTTCACGAGTCAATCGAGCGCCTACATTTCAGCATCGCGCGCAGCTTTCCACGATTGCTCTCAAGGGGACATACAAGATGAAAGGGATTGAAACGACCAAAATCGTGATGGCTGCCCGGAGTGCTTCTGTCGACTGGATATTATTTGGACGCAATGGCTTTCGCGATCGGTGGTGAAGCCCACTAGCGGCAGACGGGGGACGTCAGAAAAACCAGATAAGATTGACCGCATTTGTCGGTTGGTCCGGCACGCCGCACAAGAGAGGGAAAAAAGGAAGGGCACCACATGCCACATGTTGCCAGGGGCCGATCGCTGACCAGCAACAAGCGCATTCCCGGCCATTTCCAATCACTCCTAATCTACCGGCTTCCAAGTTATGCGCTGCCTTGAACCCCGACTCGTTTCATCGAATGGAACCCAAGGTCAATACTGCGTATGCAACTTAGGCAGTGGGAGAGCGCGACATTTTTATCGTGAAGATCCGACTTTCACTTAAATGTCAGCGGTAACGCACCAAGGCACACGAGGCAATCGCTCACCCGGTCGGAC